TGCCGGTCTCGAGATGAAAAATCGGTACAGAGGCCCAGCGCACACACAGACACACGCACAAACACACACACAGACACACACACACAGACAACCTCTTGTCAATATGCGTTTTTCGCATTGCATTGCTGCAAAAAACGCATAAAAAGAAAAAAAAAAAAAAACTAATAAGAACATTCCCAACTTGAGTGCACATATTAGACTGTAAAGCATTGGTCTTTTTTACTGCCAGTGATCCTACTGCTGTGCGAAATCGTGCATGATCGCATCGGCAAGCCTGATGTGTGCGGCTAATTATTAATATGTCTGAAAAGAACTGCGAGACAGCTGTAGCGAGCAAGCGTTTGTGAGCTTCATGAAAATTTGAAATTGAGCAAGAGATGGCTTAACTGTTTTTGCATTTATTTCAGAGAGCCCTACTGAATATGTCCGACAATCCCGTCATTGTTGCTGGTGATAACGATAAATGTGGATCAGCCCTGCCTCCACCTCCGCCGGCTTACTCAGCAATATATCCGGCAATGACTGATGACAAATATTCTGCGGTGAACGATACGCAGAAAGTAGCAAATGGATTTTTTGGTGTGAATAATGATGTATCGCAAATTATTAAAGCGGTTGATATGGCAGCTCGGCGACATCGCGGGCAACGCAGAAAGGATGTGACGCAAACTCCATACATCAACCACCCAATTGGTAGGTGCAGTTGTCTGTGCAACCAAGAGGGGCGGGGAAAAATGTTTTTTTTTTTGCCTGAAAAGTATAAAGTTCCAATTTAGTTTTATCGTAATACTGTCATCTTATATTATGCTCCGGTCCTGTTATATCAAGTCCTGATAAAAGACTGGGTAGTCTCGGGCCAAAAAGAACAAAATTTTAACATTTTCAAGTTTGCCACGAATTTCTGCGACACAGGAATGCCAACTTGCATGGATCGGTGCTCATTCGTTCGCATAATCAAACTGTCTCTATGGATTACTCATCTCATAACTTCACCATTAATTACAGCCTGAATGGCTGACTGATTTTGAACGAGAAGAAAGCTCTGCTTCAGTTTTCCCCTCAAAGCAGTGGAAATTTCCATCGAGTAACAGCGTTCAAAGCTTACTGTATTTAAATGCTTCGGATGAATGCGATGGAGAAAGTAAAAGGATCTGTTCATTGACGTAACACTGTTCGTCTGTGCTGCATTCTGCACGCTGGGATCAGGATGTCGTGATTCAGGACGATCACTTATCGACTAGACATTTAGACCGGCTGGGGTAACAGTCTAAAAGACAACAGTAAACAACTTAGTTAATTTACTTTCGAAAGCCATAGCCTGAACAGTTTTCCGGAGCAGTGCAAAGCGCTGCAGGAGCTTGGTGTACGGAGGCACTGAAGGAAGTTCTGGAATAATCCGAATCAGCATGACGATGGAGGGTGTGGACCTTGATAAAATCAACAGTTCTTTCTGTGAGAATCAAAAGCAGAGTTGTGCCACAGTCTTCACCAAAACACTGTACATCGAGGACTGTCAGCTAGCGCGATTCTCACAACGTCACGCTGCCACAAGCTATTAAACTGAAGAACTGAGCCCGCTTCTTCAGTTGGACGTTTGAAAAGCAGAGACAGGAGAGCAAAAGACGGAGCAGAATAAAAATGGTGGTTGAGTCGAAGAGGAAAATGGAGCTATTCGCGGTCTTGTGGGAAACAGAGCGCTTCCTGAAATAAACGACGTGACTGTAGCATTCACAAGATGAAATAATTTTGCAGCGAGGGACAGGTAATCGTTTTACCTGGAGTATAAGAACTGTAAATATATAGTTCTAATTATAAAAATTATATAATGTCTTTTTTTTTTCCTTTTTTTACCCTATGATTCAGGAATGCCAATCGCATTCCTTTGTGTTTACAATTTCTTCATTTTTGTCCTATCCTTTTTTTCATACCCACAAAAACCATTTCATTTTCCTATTATCATCTTCCTCATCTTCTTTTGGCCCCCTACCCTTATTCCCTTTTCCTTTATCATTCCCTTTTATCACCCATTTCCCCAAATTCCCAAATTCTTCCAAATCATTACATCATCCCTTGGTGCGGGTCCCAACTCCCTTTATAAACCTCTTTTCCTTTCTTCTAGGCCTCAGTTCTTCTTCTTCTGGACGACGACGACCTCATCAACCTCGCCAGGCCAGCTACGATTACGGCTAACCCTATCCGTGACTCGACAGACTCGACTCGGCTCTTCGTCCCTTCGGAAGGACTATTCCCCTCGGAGTCCCGCTATCGGATCTCTTGCTCAGCAGGCCACTTTGTCGTCAGAACCCAAGCATCGCGCCTTGTGTATTATTGCTGTTGTCTGCTTGCAGTAAGTAAGACATAAATTTGTTATTTATCTAATTGGTCCTCCAGTCTACGCACCACGCCACACAGCGATCCACACACGTAAAACAACCCCATCACATAAAATTTTTACTGAACGTTGGATGTTGGTTATAGATTGTAAGTACGGGATGAAAGTACTTTCGGATTCTTTCATCTCTGAAATTTAGGTGTCGCGTTCATTTTGACTAATGAAGCACAAGTAACAGACACAACAACGATCACTGCTGCTATACTGCACGATATTGTTGAAGATACTAAGACAACAGACGATGAAATCAGACAAATATTTGGGGACGAGGTTGGATTTTTGCGTCAATTTATATAGTAGGGCATTCCAGACATCCATCAGCATGACTTATTTGAACATCAAAGTTGATTTAAAATCCTTAGACAGCGTATACCAGAAGTACCAAGTGGTATATGCTACCTAAAGATTTTAAATAAGTTGTACAAAACGCACATTGCCCAAATCCTGCAACCAGAAGAGCTAAGAAGACTTTAAATTAACTTTGGCGAAGCGACTGTGCCTGGCTATGGCAAAGAAGGCAAGGGTGGCACGAAACGTTGCCGCAGCGTTCTTCTCAACAACATTCAAGTACCATATAGGCGACGAATATTCTTGCGAGTTTTTGGTCAAAGATCGAAGTCTTTTCACCGCCAATGCTTTTTATGCGTTTTATGCCGAGACAATTGCACAAAACGCATACTGCCGAAACCCAGCAAGCAAAAAAGCTAAGAAGCTGAGATATTCCGAGAATTTTTTTTTGTTCGCATGTGCCCCTACAAATTTAAACTCAGCCCTTACGTACGCTTACATTTCACGTGTTGGTGCACAAAATTTTTGACGAGAAATTTGGTAGCCAAGAAGATGGACAGCATTTCGACTATTTTTGCGTACTTCAATCTCTAGAGCAGTGGTTGTTCTTAACAGCTAACGTCTGCAGGGCAGAGCTGCACAGAATACATCATCGCAGCAGCTGCCCTGGTGCACGTCACCACTTATTCGATTTTGGTCTCGGATGCGTCCGTACGTAGGAAGAGGAGATGCTCAAAAATAGATTTCACGTTTCTAAGGCCGCACATGAGTTGGAAAAGTTCGCTAACTTCCTAAATTCATTAGCTGCTTAGTTGAGAGCGAGAGACAAATCCGAATGCACATATACTCGCAAAAGCAGCCGTTGAATAATACGCTTTGTAATTTATCATTAATGCAGTAAATAATCGGGCTGTGCCATCATTTACTTTTTGTTGCGTGTGTATGTGCGTTTGCAGTGTTCCGATGCCCGGTTAGTGGTTGAATCAGTTTGTAATGAAGAGCTAATGTTTACTGAACGATTCAGCGTCTGCGAAATAACAAATTTTGCGATTCCTTGCTTATTTCTTTGTAAAATTTCTATACTACTTACATGCGGGCATAAAACAAGAAACATGAGCCTGGAAATTCATTTCAAACCACAGTGCTATTTACGCTGTCAAAAAAAAAACCTTGCTACTTAGGATCTGTGTCGTTCTCCTTCTTGAAATATGAGCGTGAAATTTGGCATGAAATTGCGGTAAATTTCAGGGCAAGTTTAGAAAAAAAATAAATTTTTAAAATTTGCTGTTTTTAAAGGAAGTTATAAGCACATCTTTTTTGTGAATCAGAAACCGTAGACCAGTATAAAACCCAGAACTTCTAAACAATTTCCTCCGCTTCGTTCGAAAGATAAGTCGTTAAAAATTTCAGGTTTGTTTTCTTTTGACTGTGGGCTGGAAAAATAGATTGAATTTAAATCTGTGGCCTTTGCACAGCTCCCGAAATACCAGATTCCTTGTTGCTGTAGTTTTGGAGTGAAATTATTTGGACACAAACTTATACATGTGACCAACACAGCCCTTTTTATGCATTTTTGCCGTGCAGCTCTAGAGCGCTGCAACAGGCAGCAAAAACGCACATTGCAAAGGCATTGTCAGTTTGTGTGTATGTTTGTGTGTGTATTCGTCTATCCGGGTATTTCAACTCGTCAGCCACGTAAGCTTTGAAGGTGAAATTTTATCAGTGTGTTCCCCGGCCAAGTGCCACCCCAGGACCGCGATATCAACCCTCATGCACATCTGGGCCCGCATACGGCGGCGTGAAAGTTTTGGCGAAAAAACTGCTAACTCGGAAACGAGATAAGCTAGAAAGCTGAAATTTTAGGAAACTGTTGCCTCTTCATGTACAACCAAAAGATTTCAAATTCAGCTCCCTAGAACTCTCCGGGATTCACGTACAGGCGCGTAAAAATTTTTCCAGAAAACTGCTAACTCGGGAAAGAGAAAAGCTGGAAGGCTTTAATTTTAAGAGAATGTTCACTACCTTTTTCGCGGATCAACAACTTTTTATTTGTCGGGTCGTTGAAGTCGACATCTGTAACTGACGTGCCACATAGCTGCACAATTAACTTCCCGAACATCGAGAGCCAGTATGTCAGAGGGCTAGCTACTGTGATTCCTTGCGACAGCGCGAAAAATGCAAAAACGCATGATCGTACCAGCCCTCCTGGTGTCTTCCGGCCTGAGTCCCTTATTCAGGCTATGTAGGAACGCATAAAAATCGTTCTTCTTTTTTTTTTGATTTGATCTCAGTGCAGTGTCCTAAGTTAACTGATTTCACTTTTTCTTCTATTAAGTATGAAGACGTTTGAATGTGAGTACTCGGGAAGACCAAAAGTTTGCCAAAGAAGTATTATGCTTTTCATAATATTCCAATTTACTGTTTGCTTAGGGTACAAGATTTTTGATTTTTATTTAAAATCGGTATAGTTTCTATAATATTCATTGCTAATTCATGTATTAAAAATGTCCGGGGTCCAGGTAGCGGATATCGTCAAAGAATCTACATTGATCAAAAGCATGAAGCGCGAAGCAAGAATGAAAATTCTACTGGAACGCGCACCAAAATTATCGCATAGGGTTAGTTCTTCCATAATTACATTGATATTTTATTAATGTATCAACAGTTTTAGCAAGAACAAATTTTCAACTGTGACCCAGCCATCTCGTCATTGAAAGTGGCAGCAGCGGTGAAGCACGGCGAAAAGCACTCCTTGACAATAGCAAGCTGCTAGAACGCTGCTTCACATTTTTCCCGCAGCTCTCGCGCAGTTCGGAACAACATCAGTTTGTGCATTTTGTTTCTACGGCAGTGAACCCAGACTGCAGCGCACCAAGCTTATCAGCGCGGTCACGCATTTTTGCGCTAAACTTGCAGCAGTCAGGTAATTAACAGCAGGAATGTTTCCTGTGGTGTGGTTTAACACGTGGACTCATGCTGGTAGTGTTTTGGCTTTTCCTGCATGCGGAAAGAAAGGAAGTAAGCAGGAATGGTAGCGTTGAATCATGGAGCTGCGTGACTTCCAGCGTGCATGATTATCATTTTTTTCACGAAGCCTGGTCGGTCTTCCAGTGAGGAATCGTTTATCGAATGCAAATTTGAAAATGTATAGAACGTCGGAACAGAATGATTACGTAATCTGCAAAAAACAATCGCTTTCGAATTTGCGATAAAGCTGAGTATTTGTAATGCCCGTGTTCAGGCATGACAAATACTCAATTTTATCGCAAACTCAAAAGCGAATACGTTTGGCAAATTTCACTTCCATGCTAAATTAAGACCACACATGAATAAAAGACATTCCTGCAGAGCTTCAGCTTCGCAGCTTGTGTAGTAAGAGAAATGGCCAATTCGCTACAAATATCTTTGATGTGCCCTTAGTCGTAATGTAAGTGCAAATCGAAACTCATCTCAGGTACACGATTTCTCAGCAGATGATGAATTTCTTAACAAAATTTGACTGCTATTTCCTGGAAAGCTTTTGAGTTGACACAGTGTCAGCTGCAAAATTCGGCGTGATTACACGTGTACGAGTCTTTAGCTCACACATGGACAGCGGAAATCAGTGTATAATTTCAGCTGTCTAGCTTGTCTGGTTCTCGATATCGTTTTTCCGCAAAGAAATTTGCGTATTTTTTCTTCAGCGTCCGTACATGAAATCCAGACGCATACGAACAATGATTTCAGGTTGTAAGGACGACATGCATGCTGGAAACACATTTGCTAAACTGCAAACTCCTAGCTTTTCTGATTGTTGAGTCGAAAGTGAGTGACAAAGTCCGCTCGCTTATACATACATACACCCACACACAAACTCACACGCACGCACATGCGTACATACATACACACACTGCATGCCTCTCGACGATTTGTGTTTTTGCTCACTGCAACAGCGCTACAGTGCTGCACAGCAAAAACGCATATAAATTGTAATGTCCGTCCCGCGGACTTCTTCGGGACCTCCTCTATGCAGCACATAGGCGGATCCAGGGTCGTCTCTTGGGGGTAGGGTGATTTTCTACCCTCCTTTCACCCTTTGCCACCACCTTCCCCTTCTCCCTCCCTCCCTCCCCCTTTCCTCCCCGCGTTATCACCAATGGACACTAAACTGAGACTGACAAGGCTCCTGGAGGAGGGTGAGGGGGGGGGA